ACGGTCGGGACCAGAGTGAACGCTGTGCCTGTGTCCCTCAGTCCGAGTCTCCGCTGCCCTCCGGTGACCTTGGGCACATGGCCTGACCTATCTGAGGCCTGGCTTGCTTCCTGCCACTTGGCTCCCTGTGGGCGGGGCCGTCCTGGCCCCAAGGTGGGGGTCACACTCAAGTGCAGGGTGAGAGCTGCAGGTTCAGGTACAGGGACTGGAGCCTCAACACTGGAAAGTGACCTTGGCTTGGCCCCTGGGGACAGCGCGTGACACAAATTTCCCTCCCCTCTGGGGAGCTGAGTCTGAAGGAGGCTGAACAGCCCCTCTGGTCTGGAGGACCCCGTGGCCCCATTTCCCACGGGAATGACCGGGCCCGCCCAACGGCGTTTCTAACCTCCGAATGGTGGCCCCGGGCCGAGGCTGGGACCCCAGGCCCCCGTGCTGGAGCCAGGCCCTCCCGGGGACCCTTGGGCCTGGTTGCCTGGAGCCCCGGGGACCGGGGTGTCTCTCACCCCGTCCTCCACTCCCGGGGGCCTAGCAGGTGAATCTCTGCACTCGGAGCTGAGCTCACGGTCTCCCCAGGCCCCGCTGACACCCATTCTGCTTTGGGCCCCGCTTTTCGACAGCTGGCATCTCATGCCGGCCACTGTCCAGGGTGTTCCCCGTTTCCTGGGCCCCGGGGAGTGAGGCTGGGGGGTCTGTGCGGGTTAAGTTGTGGCCAAAGCGCGCCAGCCAGTCAGCCAGGGCTTGGGACCTGACGCGTCACACCGAGCGCCTAGCGGCCGACACGGGACTCGGCCCAAGGACACTGCCTGTTCCCCCGGAATCTGCAGGCGTGTTTGAATCTCACCTGCCCCCCAGCGCGGCGCGGGGCTGGCGGAGGAAGAAGAGGCTGGGGGGCGGGGGTCCGGGGCCTGAGGTCTCAGTGAGGAGGCGGGCGAGGGCTGTGGCGGGTCAGGAGCACGTATTCCCAGCTCCCCTCTCGAGTGGGAGGGGCGCAGGGGTCAGCGCCCTCGACGTCCTCTGTGGAGGCCCCGCGCCCGGCCGCAGACAAGGAGGGCCCGGTGAAGTTTCTGGAGAATCAGGAGAGGTTCAAGGGAAGGTTGGGGTCCTGGGAACGGCCTGGGGTGTGGCGATGGCTTGGGGGCCTCCGAGGGCAGGGGCGAGGCAGCACCTGTGACGCTTTCTTCTGACCCACGCGGGGGCTGGGGTCCCTGGAGACGCTGTGGGGCAAGGCGTCTGGATGGCGGCCATGCCCTGACCTTCACCTGCTAGCTTTCCTCGAGGTGGGGCCTGCGGGCCGAGGCGGAGCTGGGCTGTCCCGGGACCACACTGCAGGGGGAGGGGGAACGCTGGCTGGGCCCACGGCAGAGGGGGTGGGGAGGGCCCAGCAGGAGGTGGCACGGAGCCCCCGGTGAGGGAGGGCACGCCCACTCATCCCATGGTGTCCTGGTCTGGGGGGTCCCTTGGCCCCGGACGCAGGGCCTGGGACCGCTTAAGACGGGAGGAGCTGGTGGCCAGAGGTGCCCACGATGGGGCCGTCAGCCCGAGGTCAGAGGTCAGGGGCTCCAGAGGCGCCGGGTCTGAAGATGACGGCCGGCGGAGACCTGCCCGCTGCCCAGGGCGGCCAGGCCTCCGCACCTGAGGGCATGTGGCCCTCGGGACCCCCACCCTTATAGTGTCCCCTGGGGCTGGTGCTCACCCCCAGGACACAGTGGGGAGACTGCCTCTGGGCGCCAGCACCGGTGGGGGGAGGAGGGAGCACCGCCATTCCCAGGGCCCCAGCACATGCCAGAGGCAAGGGTTCTAGAGGTTTCTGGCCACTCCCCTCTCTGGCCAGGGCGGGGACAGCGGGGGTGGCAGTAGTGGCCACATGGGAGCCAGGGAAGACTCAGCGCATAGTGGGCTTTGCTCTGTGGTCTGAGGCGTGCTCCCTGCTTCTGGAAAGTGGCCCCTGCAAGTGAGACCAGCGGGCAGGATGGCTGGACGGTGGGGTCGGAGGGGGGAGCGTCTGCAGAGACAGAGGTCAAGGCTGGTCCCCCGTGAGCCAGGAGCCAGATCGAAGGCTTTCACACCGTCGTGGGCCACAGAGCTGGCTGCCGGCCACCGGGGTGTGGGCAGCCACGGGGTCCCCAAGTAGAGAGCAGGTGGGCCAGCCCGGCCGGAGCTGTGGCTCAGAGGACACAGCGGCTTCCGCACCTCCAGGGAACACCCTCGGTGAGGTCGGCAGGGTCATCACAGCAGCGTGGACCCGGCATGGACCCGAGAAGGTCGAGCCCAGGAGGGAAAGCGGATTTGTTTTCTGCTCCTCGTAGGGAAGGATTCGCAGCAGCTTCTGAGAACACGGTGCGAGCAGAGGGCAGCGGGCAGGGGGGAAGGGCGGCGGGCAGCGGGAGGCCCTGAGAAGCTAGAGGAAGAGAGGCGGGCTGCAGGCGTCTGCGGGGGTGCAGGGCAGGTCCCTGAGAGCAAGGGGAGCCGGGGGGCTCTGGCTGCCCGAGGCCTGAGCTGCAGGTGGGAGGTGGGCAGGAGGTCCTGGGAATGCAGGGGGCCCGTCACCACTTGGTTCCCCGGGGAAGGGGGGATGGGACCCTTGGCCTCAGAGCGGACCCCACATCCCCCTCCCTCTTCCAGCGTGACTCTTCTGTGGCTCCCTGGGTGCCTGGAAGCTTCCAGTCTCCGGGCTGGGTGGGAGGCCACGCCAGCCCAGACCCCCAGGCCCAGCGGCCTCTCCAAGCGCCCCTCCTCACAGGAGACGGCCAGCACCCAGCGTCCCATCGGCCCCGAGCCCCCCGGGCCCACACGCGCGCTGGCCGTGCTGCTGGAGACAGGCCGCGAGCACGCTCCCTCTCCCAGTCCCGCTCAGAGCGCCCCATCTTCTTCCTGCCCGCAAAGCTGTGTGGGAGCGGGGGCCCGGGTTTCCCTTGTTGGAGGAAGAGGGGCTGAGACCCACAGAGAGGGCAGCCCCACGCCTTCCTGAGCGGCCTGCCAGCAGGTCTCTGTTCTGAGGCCCGAAGCCCCATCCTGCCCCGCGCGCCCCCGAGGGCGCCGTGGTCCCAGCAGCTGGTGCCCTGACCGCAGGCGGAGCCCCCGGCGTCAGGGCTCAGCGCGTGGGGGGCACCCGGGGCGGCGGACGTCCAGGACAGCGAGTCTGCCCCCACAACGGCTCAGAAGCCACCAGGGCTACAGCCATGTCCCCGGGCTCACTCGTTATCTACCAGAAGCTGGCTTTCGTCACCTTCAGCTCCAGCTAAAGGTCACCTGCTGAGTCGCGGGGCTCCGGGGACCCATCTGGCCTTCAAGGGCAGAGGACTGACGATCGCAAGAAGATCATCTCGGCCACCACACTCCCCCGTGCAGGACCGGCCTCGGGGGCACATTTCACAGATGACCTCGCGAGCGGCTGTCCTTACCCCGCAGAGCCATGCCCACGTGCCGACTCCCGACCCCGAGCCCCCAGGGCACCGTGAAGCTGTCCCTCCAAGTGGGAGCCGGCCATACGTGCCATGTGGCTTACCACCCCGTGGGCCAGCGTGCCGGTGCCAGGGACCGTGGCCAGGTGCGTGGCTCCGTGCTCCTGCACAGAGTTGAGCGGACGCTAATGTGGGGGGCGGGGCGGGGGCAGCTCCAGGAGTGAAGGCAGGTGGTTCCGCCGAGGGGCAGCCTCCGTGGGCCCCGAAACATCCCGCTCGCCTAGCGGAGGCCACCAAAGTGGACCACTGAGGCCTCCTCCCCCCTCTGCCCGCATTCCTCCCCGCCTGGCTCTGCCCCGTGGATTGAGTCGTCTGTCTGCCCAGCTCAGGGCTCCCCACCCCCGCCCCACGACCCCTGGAGGTGCTCCAGCGGACTTCCAGCCGGGGGGCCCCAGGGGGTCAGACCCTCCCTGGCGGCTGGGCTTCACCGGGGCCCCGTCTCCAGCCTGCTCACCGCCCCCGCCCCCATGGCTTCTCCTGCCCCGTCCGGGGCCCACCTGCCAGAGCCTTCCCGGCCCCTCCCCAGGCCCTCCCCCTCCCCGCAGACCTCGCCCCTCCAGGGCACCCCCGAGAACGCAGACCCAGGACGGCCTCCCCGGTGCCTGACGGTGGCTCTCCAGGCAGCGGACGGATGGGAAGACGCTGTCCCCGTCCTGGCCACACGGTCCCGACTGAGACCACACGACAGAGCTCCTCCCTTTAGGTGAAAAATGGTGATCACGGGACTGCTGGGCGTCGTACTCAATGGACAGAAAACTCAGGACCACAAAAAAGGCACCGTTTAGGATTCCACTTTTCTAGAAAACATACTTTATGAATAACGTTTGAATGTACAAATGGGAAAAGAATAAATACTTCATCATTTGACCCCAGCGTGCGTTCCGGTGGGAAGACGACAGAGGCCCCGGGGCTTTGGGCGGCGGCCTGGGCGGGGCTCCCGGTCAGAGACCACGTGGTGGTGGCCACGCTGAAGGCCTAGAAAGGGTTTCTGTGCAACATGTCCCCAAGGCCCTCCTGAGGCGGCAGTGACGACGGCGCTCCGCTCCCCGTCCCTGAGCCCACCGCGCCCACCGTGGGGCCGGGCCAGGGTGTCCACCCTAACACGCTCACAGGCCACCAGAGGCCCCTCTCCGTGGGAACCCGACAAACCACCGGAAGCCCTCGGAAGAACCTTCTAGCACTCTGAGCGGGGACAACAGGCCTCAGACCTGGTTCTGCAAGACTGCGGCTCGCGTCCCCCAACTCGCAGGTGGCCTCACGCGGGTGAAAGGGCAGAACGGGACCAGCGGGCTGACACCACACCACGTCCAAAGGCACAGCCGCCCAGGCCCTGGGACGCGAGCTACCCGCAGGCCACGTCTCTACCACGCGCTGCTGGACGTCCCTCCAGGCCCAGGAAACGAAGTCCCTGCCTTCCCCCGTCCCGATGGCCTCGCTGGCAGCGGACACCCGGTTTCACGCCCAACCACAGCCCCCCGCAGCGGCAGCACCTGCCCCCAGGCGGCCAACGGCGGGAAGAAACGTCCGAACCGACGCACGCCGTGGCTCACGTGGCTGAGGGCCGCATCCGGGACCCTGGCAAGTGCTGGCCTGGCAGCCTGGTGGGTGTGACGGGCAGGAGCCACCCCGAGGCTGGCGTGGTCAGAAAGAGACCAAGAGTCCGTGTGTCAAACGAGTCCAGGCCGCGGGGCCCACGGGGAGCCGGCTCAGTAGGCGACCCTCCAGTGCGTGGGCTGCTCGCACGCCGCCTCCAGGTCCCCGCAGAAGCGGTTGTACGTCGTCCGGGGGTCGAGCCCTAGGATCTCCCTCTCCTCGTGGATCCGGAAAGAGAACGTGGAGACCGAGGTTCCGATGAAGAACCTGGTGAACGGCAGAGGTCACGGGAGCCGCCCGGCCTCGGGTCGCCGCTCCCCCAGGGCCGCAGGTCCCGTGTGCGGGCTGGCCCGAGTCCCCGCGGGATTCTGGCTGCTCTGGGCGGGGACGTGGACCTCAGGGCTGGGACGGGGGAGGCCTCGGCCCGCAGCCCCGGGAGGCCCAGCGCCCAGCACGCCCTGGGAGGACTGGCCAGAGCCCTCGCCCAGCAGCTCAGGGGACCCAGTTACGCTCAGTCTGCCGCCCTCCTCAAAGCGCGCTGGCCTGGTCACCTCCTGGGACGGTGACCAGGAGCCCGCCCTCCCTTTCCTGAAGCCCTACGCCTGCTCCTCAGTGACCTGTGTGACCGCGGGCGTCGCCGAGCCCGGGGGAGCAGGACCTCGGGGCGAGGGGATGTATGGGGGTCCGGGCCCGAGTGCCGCCGCGGGGCCGGGCAGGCAGCCTCGAGCGGGGGGCGGACCGTGAGGACGGCCCTCCGCGCGGGGCCGGCGGGGCACCTGGCGTGCGAGCAGATCCACTGGTCGATGATGGCCACGCCGCCGTCGCGGTACAGCTCCAGCTCCTCCCACGTGGGCTCGAACGTCACCATCTCGGGCAGCAGCCGCTTCAGCTCCTCGTGTTCTGCAAAGCGAAGGAGGGCGGACACGCTGGGGTCGCGGGAACGTGCGGGGGGACCCGACGTAGAAGCCGGCGCTGCCTCCCGGGTGAGGCCAAGTGCGCCAGCCCGGAGCCAGGGCCACGTACCCTTCCTGACGGCGTCCGTGGCCACGAACACCGTGTCCAGCTGGTGGGTCTTCATGAGGCTGCGGATCTTCCTCACGGCCCCGTCCAGGCTGGGCACGTCCTCCCTGTGGCCCCAGATGAAGTCCTTCCTCCTCAGGTGAACGGCGAGGTACGGGCCGCCCAGCGAGGCGCCCGGCGTGACCTGAGAAGAGGGACGGGGACGCTGAGGGGCGTGCGTGCGGCCGGCACGCGGGACACAGGGGACGCGGTGTCCACCTGGCAGCAGCGCGCTCCGTGGGCGTCGGGCCACGTGTCTAGGACGGCGAAGTGGCCGATTACCAGACCCTTTAAACTGAGTGACACAAAAATGGAAAAAGAAACCTGGAAACAAGCACTAAATCATGGAAAAGGGTCTGTTTATGACTGTGCTTTGCCCTCGAGCAGCGCGTAACGGCCCAGGGGTGGCGGGTGGGACGGCGCTGCGCCCGCTGATGCCGCGGGGACAGCACCCCTGGAGCGCGTTCCCCGGGAAACGCTCGGAAACAACGCCCGCTTGGACAGCCGCGCGCCCCTTGCTGGAAAGGAGCTCCGTGAAAACGAGATCTTCGGGAAACGCTTTTAAAAATAACGGTGACCCCTCCAGGTCGCCTGGTCTGGCTGCTCTGAGAAAAACCTCGCCCTTTCCTGCCCTGCTGTTCCCGCGTCCGCTTCCGTGTCTGCCGCCTGCCTTTGCTCCCGGAGCGGCCCTGACACGAAGGCGGCCACGGTGGAAACGGAGCCGAGCCCTGGGCTGGGACAAGGGGACCCTCCCGACGCATGTCCCCGAGTGAGAAAGCGTGGGGGGCGCTACCTTCATCTTGGTCCAGTCCTCCTGGAAGGGGATCCGGTCGGCTTCGTCTGTGGAGTTCAGGTACTTGCTCCTGAACTCGTCCCCCACGGCCCGCAGGTGCTTGGCGAACACCATGCTCCGCCGGGTCTGCGGGTGCAGGGGGCAGGGCCACTGAGCGCCCGCCCCCCCCCCCCGTGGGTGCCCCCAGCCCCACCCCCATCCTGAAGCTGGCCTGAGTCCCCCGGGTCTGCAGGTACAGGGCCACTGAGCCCCCGCCTGCCCACCCCCATCCCCACCCCGATGTGATGGGGGTGCTGGACACCGAGGACAAGAAGCCAGCACTCTCGGTGACGGGTCATCAACCAGCAAAAAGCCAGTCGGTGAGCGACCGACTGGGACCGTCATCACCTGCGGAGTGTGTGGCGCCTGCAGGGTGGGGCTCTGGCCTGGAGAACGTGGCTGGCAGGAGGGTCACCCTCACAGCTGGCGGGGGGACCACAGTGCCGACGAGAGGCAGAGACCACGCGGGCGGCCGCGACAAGGCTCCTCTGTGCTTTGCATACGACCCGCTCGGGGGGCTCCCGGGTCCGGGAGCGGCGGTCTCTCCCGGGGGTCCCGCCGACAGGCGCCTAACCTCTGCCCGGCTGCCCGCGGGAGCCTGTCGCCCCCCAAACAGGACAGGCCCCCCAGCAGGGCGGGCGTGGAACCTGCCCCCTCGGGCTCGGCGCCCAGCACGCGCCCGGCACGCGGACGGCGGCACTCACGTCCCAGTACTCCTTCCCGCCGTAGTGGTCGTGCAGAAGGTTCTCCGCTCTGTCCAGCATCACCGACCTGTTTCCCGACAAGGGGAGCGTTCTGTCCGCCTGCTCCGGGACCGGCCGGGAAGGACGCCGGGCCGGGGGCCTCCGCACACGCTCCCGGGGGGCCCTGCCGCCGCACGGGGGGTCGGCAAGCCCGCTGTCACCGCTGACGCGAGACACACCACCGACAAGGCGATCGAGTAGGACGAGCCGGCGGCTCCGGTGGAGCAGAGCCCGCACGGCCGGGCCCCGTTCTGTAACTGAGACCGGGCGCCCGACCGCCTGGCACGCGAGGACGCGCGCCACGATCGGGTGCTTAGTCAGCACTTACTCCTGTTTTAAAAAGTCACCTTGGGGCGCCTGGGGGCTCAGTCGGTTGAGCGTCCGACTTCGGCTCAGGTCATGATCCCACGTTCGTGGGTTCGAGCATCAGACTCTGTGCTGACGGCTCAGAGCCTGCAGCTGCTCTGGATTCTGAGTCTCCCTCTCTCTGACCCTCCTCTGCTCATGCTGTCTCTCTCTCTCTCTCTCTCAGAAAAAAAAAAAAAAAAATTTTTTTTAATAAAAATAAAAAAATAAAGTCACCTTGACACAGCACTCGGTGGTCCTTAGCATGTCTGCTTCTCAAGCCCCAAACTAGCACCTTTTTCACAGAACGCTCAACTCCCTCCTTGCACAGCGAGAGACAGAGCGGCCCCTTCCCGAGGCGATCAAAGGACCGGAAGCAGCAGAGCACATAGGAGGAACAATCCAGAAAGGGCGGCATCCACTCCAACAGGAAACGCGGGGCACAAGTCTGGGGGCCGGTGCACAGCTCCCCCTCTCTCCTGGTCCACAACCCCACCCCCCCAGCAGGACGGGGTGCCGGGGAGAGGACGGCTGCGCCCACACACCGCCCACAGCCTGGCGGAAGCGGCCCGGCAGCCCCGGGCGGGGAGGCCACAGCCCCTCCCCTGACCCCCGCGCGGCCGGGCTCCGAGGTGGCTGTGCTGGAGACCTGACCGCGGACGGGACGGGAGCCCCGGAGCAGCTGCAGAGCTCACCCTGCCTCGGAGGCGGCTCTTCCAGTCCAGCCCCAGCCCCCCGGCTGTGCTGCCCCCGCCCCCCTGCCGCCCGCCCGCCCGGCCCCACGCCCGCCCCCGCCCCGCACAGGGAGACCCGGGCCCCTCCCCCCGCAGGCAGCGGGGCTGGAGACCCTGCATCAGCTCCTACCGCAAAGCTGTACGCTGGTACACGTGCACACACGCACCCACGCCCGCCTGCAAACACCTGCACAGACCCTGCGGGCACTCACCTCACACACAGCACACACACGTGCACACGCACACACCCGCACACGCCTGCACTTGGACCCTGCAGGCACTCACCTCACACACAGCACACACACGTGCACACGCACACACCCGCACATGCCTGCACTTGGACCCTGCAGGCACTCACCTCACACACAGCACACACACGTGCACACGCACACACCCGCACATGCCCACACTTGGACGCTGTAGGCACTCACCTCGCTGACGTGTTTCTCAAAAGCACAGGCGCCATGACTGACGCGGAGCCTTGAACGGACAAACAGGAGACGTTTAAGGCTCTCGTCTCTTCGTACCCCCAAAACCATCCTCTGGAAAACAAGATCCCGGCGCCTCTGTTAGTGTGTCCTCACGCGGGAACCGGTGAGGCCCCGACGCACATGTGCACGGTCCACCTCGACCCCGGCGGCCTCCCGGTGAAAACCTCCCGCTCGGGATCACCGGTGCGGACGTTCCGGTGGAAACTTGGGAGAAACCACAAATCTCAGAGCGCCTGAGCGGACGGTGGGGCTCCGTCTGGACAGCAGCCGGGGCGGGGAGGGGGGGCGGTGTGGCCCTACGACAGTATCGGCCCTACGACAGCCGTGCCCTCCGCCGGGCTCCCAGAGCACTGGGTTTCTAGAACCCGTTATTCCGGCGCTGCGCCCACAGGTGCCACTGAGGCGACAGCCGCCCCTCGGGGAGGTCTTCTGACGGCTACTCCCGTCTGGGCGACCAGACAGCCATCTCCGTGGCCACAGTCAAATGTGCTGAACGCTCCTTAGCTGTGTCAAGGTAACTGGGCGCAGGGCCGCTGCGCAGGCGGGACGGGGAAGGGAAGGGGACCCTCCCGCGGGGGCCCAGCGGCCGCACCTGTAATACTCGTGCTTGTCTTGCGCGTAGAGCAGCGGGTCGATGCAGGGCCGCTCGTCGACCTTCTCCTCCCAGGCCCCCTCCTTCCACCCCTCCGCGTAGCCTTGCAGGACCAACACCTGGTCAATGAAGGGCCCGCCGGACTCTGGAAAAGGCCAAGAACTGGCAGTGAGCCAGGACCAGAAGCTCACGGCGGGCGGCCGCCGGCCCCACGGGATCGCTGCTTCATTCAGCAGCAGCCTCCTCCCCGCGGGGCTGCAGAAAGCTCACGGGAGCAGACAGGACACACAGACGTCAGGGCACGAGGTCCCTGAAGAAGGCGGAAGGGGCGGCCTCGGGGCAGCGGAGCTCGCGCGGGCCCTGGCGCTGCGGGGGCCCCTCTTCCAGCGGCGGGGCCTGTCCTCAGCGCTCAGCCCCCCTAGGCTGCACGCCCGCGCGGTCCTCACCACGGCCGCTGGCCCCACACGCCCGTGCGCCCTGCCGTCCCACAGCACATTGGTGTGCCCCCTTCCCCCCACCTCTGCGAGGACCATCCTTGCCTGGACCGCTCCCCTTCAGGGCTCGCCTTGACCCCGTGACGCCATTCAAACCGCACCTCCCAGGGACAGCCTCCCGCCCCACCCCACCCACCCCCTTCCCGTCCACACTACACTTCACGGCCTTGGACGCTGCAGGCTTTAATTCCTTCTTCTTCTGCCACCCTGCGCCCCACGGAGCTCCAGGAGGGGAGGGGTCTGTGTCCGTCCTCCCCACTGCCTCCCGCACCCCGGATGTGCCGGCCACCCCTGCAGAGCTTCATCAAGACGTGTCCAGGGTGGATCGGTGGAGCCCAGTCACGAGAGGGCCACACCGAGAGGAAGTCTGCGGTCTCTTGCACACTCCCCCTCACTCAGGGTCGTGCTCCTGGAGGGGCCTGGCCCAGGCCCCCAGGGGCTGCTCTCACAGTGACAGGAAAGGGAAGAGACACCGAGAAGCTGAGATGCCCGGTGCCCTGCTGCGGCACGTGTCCTCAATGCCTCTCCCCCTCCGCGGCGGGACACGGTGCAGCAGCCGAGGCCGGCGGGGCGAAGGGGAAGCCGTCTGCTGCCGCGCGGCACGGCTCTCAGGGCTCTCCCGCCTCCCGTCCCCAGGCTTCGGGCTTCAAGGGCAGCAGGGCGGGCACCAGCCCTTCCGCCCGCACACCCAGTCTCTCGCCACTAGGCATGAGCTCATGTGGCTGGGGGCTCGGACCTGTCCTGTGTCCCCCCATCAAGAAACCCTCCGGCCACGGCCCTTCATGGAGGTGAAGGGCGGTTTCTCTGGGAGCCTGCGTGACCCGTGGTTCAGACAAAGGCTGAGGCGGATTCCCAGACAAAGTCAAGTCAGGCTGAACACTGGCTACATCTCGTCTTGGCTCTGAGAGGGATGCGTTCCCAGAATATTCCTTATGAGCCTATTTGCTTCTTGCCCGTGAGCGGAGCTATCAGAAGACACGGCCCATGCTGACCCAGGCCGCGGCGCTGCCAGGACTGACCCCGACACAGGAACGTTCCGAAGCGACAGGGTCCACTGCGCGGTGAGAACAGCGGTGGAGAAACGAAGACCCGTCCGCTACAGTCATGCGCTCCAGGGCCTGACACAGACGCCACATTGCTGACGGCCCGGGCCTCCCTCTGCCAGACTCAGGTGGTGGCAAAAAGGTACCACTGCCTTTTTAAAAACTTAGGGGGCGCCTGCGTGGCTTAGTTGGCTAAGCGTCCGACTTTGGCTCAGGTCATGATCTCACAGTTCATGGGTTCGAGCCCCGCGTTGGGCTCTGTGCTGACAGCTCAGAGCCTGGAGCTGCTTCGGATTCTGTGTCTCCCTCTCTCTCTGACCCTCCCCTGCTTGCACTCACTCTCAAAAATAAATTAAAGACACAGGGCATCTGGGATGCTCAGTTGGTTAAGTGACCGACTTCGGCTCAGGTCATGATCTCACAGTTCATGGGTTCAAGCCCCGCGTTGGGCTCTGTGCTGACAGCTCAGAGCCTGGAGCTGCTTCGGATTCTGTGTCTCCCTCTCTCTCTGACCGTCCCCTGCTTATGCTGTCTCTCTCTCTCTCTCAAAAATAAATAAAACATTAAAAAAGTTTTTTAATAAAAAATAAAAATAAAAAATAAAAGAATAAAAACTTAGATCTTCTGCTGTAAACGCCTTCATTCTAAGAAAACCTCCAGCTTCTCTCTTAAAAAAAATGAACTCTACTGAGCAGGACTAAGTGGAACGAGAGGCATTATTACAAGCACTCACAGCACTGCAGGGAGGCCCCACATCCATGCCCACCGGGGGCCACCTGCCGCCCCTCGGGGACAGAGGGCCCTCCCGGCATACGGCCTCGTCCCGCTGGGGCCACCCGGCCTCCGGGTCAGCAGCCACGGCTCCGAGCGCCCTCCGCTGGCTCGCCGCTGCCCCAGCTTTCAGGGCTGGGGGCACACGGCTCACTGAGCTCTACTTCCCGAGAAGGATGACAGAGGGACCACGGCCGCTGGGAACGCAGAAGCGGGATGGAAGCAGGGCCCCCACAGAACAAGCGTCACAGCCACAGGCCTGATGCCGACAGTGGGCGGGCCAGCCTCACGCTCACACCAGCACCCATGACCTCGCCTCACCTGCGATGAACTGCTCGTACTCAAGGACGGGGATGTTTCTATTCAGACTTGGAAGATCAAAGAAGTCCGACCACGGAATCCGGACCTGGTGGATGTCGGGGCTCTGCCAGTGATAGAGGCGGCCCCACGGGGGCAGCACCAGCACCCACTCCTCAGTCTTCAGCAGCGTCTTCAGCAGGGAGGCGACGCGGATGTAGACGTCCCTGCGGAGGTTGAAGCCCTCGGGGGGGTTGACGTCATACAGAAGATACCTAGAAGTGGGGGCAGGAGCTAGGTTCTTCAGCGCTGAGGCTTCTGGACAGGAAGCCCAGAGGTGACCCCAGGTCCTATGGCGCAGGATCTGGGCACCCTGAGGAGCTGGAAGCTCACTGCAGCTGCCACCCATTTCTGTACAACCCGTTCCTTCCAGAGCCCGCAAGCAGTGCAGCGCACATCTCAGGTCCCTCTAACGACCAGCAATAACTCACCGTGAGACCAGCAGAGTCGCAGGGGTGCTCACATGACTTGCTCTACCGGCCCCTCTACACTCTGCACAGCTACTGAAGCCCCCGCAGGACTGCTGTTATGTGGGTTACATCTACCCATAATGCGTGTGTTAAGTTACGAACTTAAACTGCAAATATTTAATCACTTAAAATAACATAATAAGCTATTACATGACACATTACTATTTTTAAATAAAAAATAAGTATGCTTTTCTAAGTAAAAAGAATTAGTGAGAAGAATTGCAATGCTTGCAATTTTTGTAACTCTTTTTGGTCTGGCGCTTGCTGGATTTTCACAGCCGCTTCTGCATTCAACCTGTCGCGCTCTCCCAGGTCAGGTGGCCTTGAGGAATCCCCACCGCAGACTCCGGAGAGAACGTGGATAACACCCTGACGTTCCCACGAAAACGGCTCTGACGCCAGGCCTCCTGTCCCTTGTCGGCACTGGCTTTTGCACAACTGCCCTGACTACCGCTGCAGCTGCGTCCCAGTCCCAGCCTGAGCCCCAGATCGCCCCAAGACCACCAGCAGAGGAGGGGACCCTTTACCACGTCTGCTTCCCCCAAACCCTCGGCAATTGCTGGACCGCGCAGACACTTGGCTTTTTATCCCTGAGACTTATCTAGGGGACGTCCACCAACTGGGTGGAGCCTGGAAGATTCCGTGCAGATAAACAAGGCCGAGCTGTCAGGAACGTCTGACTCGGGCGCTCCTCCAGCCCACGGCAAGGACCCGCTCCATCTAACAGGGGCCCCCGGGCCTGCCCCTTCAGGCCCACCCCCAGCCAGCCCTTCCCGGGGCTCCGGAGGCCCGGAAGCCCGGGGCGACCCTGGCTCGCACGCAGGCTGAAAACCCGGGGAGGGTCAAAGGGTAACGGGGTGAGGGGGTGAGGGCGCTGGGGGCTCCGCCCCGGCCCCCGGCCCGCAGTCTCCGGCCCCGGGCCCGGTCCCCGGCCCCGACCGCAGGCGCCCCGCCACGGGGGCCCCGCCGAAGGCGCGGACGCGCTTTTACCGTCTGCGGGACGCCGCCCCCGACAGGATGTCGGCCGCCGACTGGCCGGGCCAGAACTCCTCGCCCGAGGCCGCGGCCGGCGGCCAGGACACCGCTCCCAGCAGCAGCAGTAAGACGACGCCGAGCGCCGCCATGGCCCCAGCGGCCACACACTTCCGGCGGCCGCGCTCCGCCCCGGAAGCGCACGCACGCCCGTCCCACCGGAGCGCGTCTCCTGAAGCCCTGGCAACGCCACGCATGCGTCCTGCGTCATCACTCGGCCGGGCGTCTCCCGGACGAAAGGTGCTGGGAGGCGCAGCCGGGAGGCCAGGTGGAGCGGAGACCGGGGCGGGGCCGTGGTGTGGGCGGGGCCGAGGCGGGCCTGTGGGCGGGGCCGCGCGTCCGGGAGCGCGGTGTCCTGGGAGCCGCGCAGGGTGGAGGCCCGTGGGCGGGGCCGTGGTGTGGGCGGGGCCGAGGCGGGCCTGTGGGCGGGGCCCCGCCGCGGGAGCGCGGCCGCAGGCGCGGGTGGCGGGTGTGCGGTCGCGGGGCCCGAGCCGCGGCTCGGCGGCAGGGGGAGCCTTCGGGCTTCGGGCGGACCGGCCGCGGGACTGATCCGGGGCCCGCACGGGCTGGCCAGGTGTGGCACCCGCGCCGCAGACCCGCCAGGCGCGGGACCCGCAGGGCGGGCGACGTTCGGGCGGTTTCCGGGATGACGAGGCGTCTGCTAAAAGGGGAAGGTGGGGTGGAGGCCGTCGGGGGGGGTCTCACCGTGGAAACCCGCAGTGCAAGGGCCGGATGGAGTCGAGGCTGAACCCGAGGAGCTGGGACCTAGCGGCCACCAGATGGGCGACTGCTGTGCCCTGGCCCCCGTTCAGCTCGGGTCTGCACCGCCAGGTGCGCGCTCTGCGGGGGTGGCGCGCAGGGCGCCCGCCCCGAGCCTCGGAGGCTCCAGCGCGAGGGCCTGCCTCCCCCGCCCTCACTGCAGCCCCTGCCCCGGAGCCCCCCCTCGGAGAGGCACCTGCGCAAGGGGCACCGGTGGGGCTGGAGCCTTTGTGGTCCCCGGGGGCGGGCGTGAGGGAGGGCGGGACGGTAGGAAGGTGGGAACCACGGCGGCCGCCGGCGCTGCCCCGTCTCCAGGCTTCGTCTTTATCGCCCGGGGCGCTCCTAGCAGGGTGCCCAGCCCGCTGCCCCCCGCAGGGCAACGCGGTGCCCCGGCGGCTCCCCTCGGCCTGCCGCGCGCCCGGGAGCCCACAGGTGAACAGGACTCACCTGGGCTGCCTCCTCCCTTGTTCTGCTAGGTCTCTTAGTAAAGACGTCTCAAAACATCCCCTTTTTTTTTGGTAAGTTTATGCAGCTTGAGAGACCGCGTGCGAGCGCAGCGGGGGAGGGGCGGGGGGGGGGGGGAGTCCGGCACCCGCGCCGCCACCGCAGGGCCGGACTCGGGCTCCACCGCATGAACCATGAGATCAGGACCGGGTGCTTAGCCGACTGAGCCACCCAGGCGCCCCAAAACGTATTCTTAAAGGAGTTTTTATCAGGAGTTTTCAAGCATTTAGGGAAAGAGGGTGATGTGGGGCCCGTGGACCCACCTCCAGATTCAGCACTCCCCCCCGCGGCGCTCACTTCTCCGTCGCTTTCTTCTTGTTCCTGTACTGTTTTCAAGCAAATGACTGACATCAAGTTGTTTCATTTCAAGTATTTCCACGTGTATCTCTAAGAAATAGATCAATTCTCCACACAGCCACAATATCATTATCCCACCTAAACATTTATTGATTATGCTGTAATATCACCCAATCCGCTCTCTGTGTGTTGTGTCCCCGGATGTTTCAAATGCCCTTTATTACAGCAGATGCGCTCCGGGTACGATCAGGGCTCCATAGGCGTGTGTGAGGACACTTACTACAGGGACTGGCTCACTGGGTGACGGAGGCCTGAGGCCCCGCCATCGTGTCTGTGAGTGGGGGGCCCGGCAGAGCGGGCGGTCGCCCAGAGGCCTGAGAACCGGGGCTCCGTTGTCTGAGGCCGGAGAAGATGGACGTCCCAGCTCAGCAGGGAGCGACCCATCCTCCTCCTCCGGGGGGTTCTATTCAGGCCCTTGAGGCGTTGGGCGCGGCCACCCACCTTGGGGAGCACAACTTTGCGGGTCCACCGATTCACACGCTGATCTCTCCAGGAAGCTGCCTCACAGACACACCCAGAAACATTCATTTCACCAGCTCTCTGGGTGCCCGTCGCCCCGTCCAGGGGACACACAGAATTAACCACCAAAGGCTCCTGGTTTTAAAATTTTTTTTTTTTTTTTTTTTTTTATTCCTAGGAGAGAGAGAGAGAGAGACAGCGTGAGCAGGGGAGGGTCAGAGAGAGAGGGAGTCACAGACTGAAGCAGCTCCAGGCTCTGAGCTGGCAGTCAGCACAGAGCCCGACGCAGGGCTCGAACCCACGAACCGTGAGATCATGACCCAAGCGAAAGTCGGACGCTTAGCCGACTAAGCCACCCAGGCGCCCCAAACAAAGGCTCCTGGTTTTAACAGGCTACCGGGCAGCTCAGCCTCCCTCCCCTCCCTTCCTCTCCTGGCCCCTCCCCCCCTCCTGCCTCTGCTGATTAACCGCTGGACTCTGTTCCTTACCAGGAATGACCCAGGAGAGGTTTGTGAGTCTCTTACTAAGAGAAAATGGAAATCTTCTAAAAAAAAAAAAAAGTAACTGAATTCCTTCGTGGCCGGAACATCCGGAGTCACTGTAAGGTTTCCCGCCTCGGTGTGAAGTCAGAGCTCTCACGCGTGTACACACACACACACACACACACACACACAGCGCACACCAGAGGGGGCTCTGCCGCCAGAGGGCAAGAGAGCCCTTTGGCCTCCGGAATGGAGGCCGAGGGAGCCGCCCCTGTTCCCTAGGCCTGAGGGAGGGGCTGGGGGAAGGGCCGACACGACAATGGGCCAGGCCAGGCCCCCTCCAGCCCCTCCAGGATGAGCCCCCGAGCCGGCCCTGCGGGGGAGGGGAAGGAGGCCCTGTGGCCGAGGTCTGCAGGTGTGGTGTGTGCGTCCTGGGGTCACACCTGTTACAGCCCCCAACTCAGGTCTCAGGAGGGTCACCCTGGGTCCCAGCCATGAGGGGTGGAGACACGGAGGCCAGGAGTCTCTGAAGAGGGACCTAGAGAGTCTTCTGAAAGCTGGGGTTCCGGACGAGGCCCTGCCAGAGCCGGGAAGGAATGGGGGAAGGGGCCGCCTGCTCCACCCCCCCTCCACGAACAACTTGGGGCGGGGTGGGGGCGCAGGGCTGGTGGAGGTCACCGGTGCCCCTCTGTGGCCACGGCACATCTGCAGTAAAGTAGCGAAAAGCTGTGGACCCTTCACCTGGACAGGGGCTGGGGAGCCGGTCAGCAGAGGTGGGGGCAGTGTGACCTGGGGCGGTTCCCCTGGGGCGGGCACACAGCTCTCCCTCCACCACCGCTCTGCTTCTCAATGCTAGAGGTGAGTTATCAGGATCATGTGCTAGAAGCTTCTGAGCCACTGCAGAACTGCACCTCCTCGCTGGGGACAGTGCCCGGGCCACAGGGTTGCTGCCAGCAGCGGGAGGCTTCTGGTTCGGCCATGAGCCCCAAGGAGTTTTAACAGCAGCATCTGGGGGCCGCCTGCCAGGACTGTCCTCCGGGGGCCCAGTTACCAGACGTGAAGGCGTGCTGATTCCTGTGCTCAGCACACGGGCCCGCTTCCCCACGTGACCTGCCCACGGCGGGGCCCACCATCGAGGGCGCTGGCTCACCAGGACCTGTGGACGGGCCAGCCCAGGGGACACGGGCCACCCCACCCTGAAGCAGGGCCACCGCCTGTCCCCTGGGGGTGCTTAGGGCACCTGACTCTGGTCCTGCTGCCCGGGACACACCCCTGTGGCCTCATGGGGGGGCAGCCACCAGCCACCCTCACGACTCAGGTCACGTGGGGGTGGGGAAGCCCAGAGTGGGGGCTGCCCGCGGGGCTGCTGGACCTGGGGGCTCCCCCTTTCGGTGCTGGGGTCCCCCGGCTGGCCTGTGTGTGGGGTGTAAGGGCCTCTCCCCTCTCAGGGGAATGAGGGGAAGCCTGGCATGGAGTAAAAGCACCTATGTGGCCAGCAGGGTCCTGTACCGAGGGTGCCATGAGGAGTCTAGGCTACGGGGGTGGGGGGGGACAAAATTCAGGCCGCCCCAAGGCAGGTGACTCAGAAAGTCCTTCAAAAATACTCCAGGTCCCTAGTTTTGGGCTCCAAATACTTCTGCTCCTTGTCTGTGCCGCCAGGGGTGGTTTTCCGCTGGGGGTGGGCCTGGTGGGAGTCTCCTCCGCCAGCCGCCAGCCGGGGTCCCCGGACACAGGGCCCCCGGACCCAGGGCCCCGAGGCTGGCGCTGTGGGAAGGCTTGTGAGCAGGGCCGCGGAGCCGCGTGTGGGGGGCCAGGACTGTGGGAATTGCCCTCAGCCTTTCTGGAACCAAAACACTGGCAAATGTCAAGAAGTGCGTAGTTTGTTTTACTGAAACAGGCTGCTTATTTATGTTTGGAAGGCCGGCTTCAAGGACTCCTCTGGGCCCTTCTCAGATGATGTCAGCGGAAACACCGGCAGATGGTGGGGGCTGGGGGCCCCCCGGAATGAGGTGCGGACAGGAATTCATGCTGGGTGCAGCGGGACAGCTCCTGTGACCCCCACTCTCTTGGTTTGGGGCCTGGACCGGCCACTGCTGTGGATGCTCCCAGCTGGGTTCTGGAGCCTGCAGACGGGCACGTGGGGGCAGGGATTAGATCCCGCCCAAGACCACCCGGGCAGCGTGGGCTCTCCTTTACCCCGCATCCCCCAGCCTGATGGGCTGTAGCTGGGGTGCAGCGCCCCCTGCCCCACACCCCCCAGCTGGTTGTGGATTCAGACAAGTCCCTCCCTCCCTTCCGCCCCCCAGATGGTGTGGCTGAGGCTGTCCCCTGTGTCACCATGACCACCCGTACCCTCCAGGGGGTCCCCTCCTGGCCAGGCGGGGTCTCCGCTCCCCAGCCTCTTCTCTGCCCCTTGGAAGCTCCAGGCTCCCCTCAAGTTTCTCAGCAAAGCGGTAACAAACAGAACGAAGGTGGGAGCCGCCCCTCCTTTCCCTCCGAGGAAGGCAGAGGGCACACAGGCTGGTGGGTGTGACATCTTCCTTTCAGAAGCACAGGCGGGGACACAG